GAAGAATAAAGTTTTCTCTATTGATCTTGTGTCCAATGATCCTTCAGTAATTGCTTGTGATATGTCAAATGTATGTGTATTTAGTTTGCCTTTGAATTTGAAATTGGGTTCAAATTATGCCATGGGATTGAACTCTTTTGTTGTATAATATCTAGTTGCAACAGCCCTTATGATTGGTTAGTTTAATGTGCTTATTGGCAGACACCCCTTGATGCTTCATCTATAGATGTCGCTGTCTTTTGCCTCTCATTGATGGGGACAAACTTTCCAAGTTACCTTGAGGAAGCACACAGAGTTCTGAAGCCAAGGTTTGCACCTGGTGCTTTTTTGAAGCTTCTGGATTATCCTTTGTTGGTCGTTTTCTTTTCTTATGAACTGATGGTGCAACTTACATCTTCTCTTTTAGTGGGTGGCTTTTGATAGCAGAAGTAAAAAGCAGATTCGATCCAAACACAGGAGGAGCAGACCCAAAAATGTTTTTAAAAGCCATATCTGATCTAGGATTTACCTCGACCTTAAAGGTCTTCATATGTTCCTCCACCTGCTTTGATATATGGATTTCTTTAGTCTACGCTTACTGACGCAAATTATGTGCAGGATTTCTCAAACAAAATGTTCGTTTTGCTATATTTCCAGAAAAAGGTCAGTTGCAATCCAGATTATCTGTCTTCTGATTCGTGTGCGTGTGATTTATATGCGTGAGAAGTGGTTTATTAGTTCTTGTGCATCACTAATCGGTTCATCATTGTTTATAGGAAAAAGAAACTTTGACAAGAAAAGGAATTGAATGGCCTGAGTTGAAACCTTGTTTGTACAAGCGTCGCTGAAATCAGATGTTGCCCTTATCAGATTACTGATGCATGGATCTAAATACTGCATCATTAGTAGTATCAATTTTGATAAATTTTGCAAAACAGTTATTTATTTATTGTTTAGAGCTCTAGTCATATTCTGTATTAGATGCCTAAATTCTGTAACTTCGAATACCTTTCTTTTTAAGTTCATAGCATGAGAAAATGTATTTTTTAAGTTATTTTTTCCATCATCCTTATGAGTCGTTTTAATTACAAGTTGTGTCGTGAGGCACACTGGTTTTTGTTGTCTCCTGAATTTGAATGCTATGTGTAATTTCACTTGCAGATTACAAAATACAAAAGCAAAATTTCCAGAGACTTTTGAAATGATTTAGTCAAATTACAGAAATAAATCAATCCAAAAAATTAATAGTGAATTTTTTTAAAGAGAAATCAAGAAAAAGCTTTACCATTATAGCAAAGTTGGTCTCAAATTTTAAATCTAAATACTCGGACTAATTGTGATTAACAGGGCATCAAATAATTATGTAAAATTACTTATGGTAAGCAAATCAAGCATGTAAGATGACAGATCACGTAAAACATAACAAAATTAAAATACCCAATTGAAATTCACGTGGTGTTTGACATTTTATCTTGTTAGTGTATTTTAATTTCGCACACATAAAAAAAAAATTAATTTATTGCTATTTTCATGATTCACCAACAGTTCATCATGAGTTTTTTGTAAAGAAAATAAAATTAATAGGATTATATATTATTTCAATCAAGCTTAACCTCTAATTATAAATAAATTATAAATAAAATAAAATTATAATAAATCCTAAAATATTACATACACCTCTAACAAGTCAGATTTCAACAACTCGAATTTGAATCCCTCTTTAATATGTCAAAACAACAAATAATTCAAGGATTCTGAATCAAATAATTTTCAACTGAACTCGAGTTAAAAAAAAAAAAAAAAAAAGTTGGTCTTTACATAGACCAATGTCTCTTTTTGAACTCGTGGAAGGTGAAATTCAAAGGGGTTGCTGTAATCACACCCTTCCACTAACAACTTGCAACTTTGTTCTTACGACCATCATTACAACTTCAGACTTTTCATGATTCAAACTTTCAGTATAATTATTCTTTAATGCATGTCAAGACTATTGTTAAACCTCTACACATTTTTTATGGTAAAAAACTTTTTACATCTTTGTTGATACAATTTTTTTTCCAAAAGTTTAGGTTTTATATGGTCCAACAATGGATCTTTCCAAAATAGTCATTACTTCCTGTCAGCATCACGTAGAAGAATAACGAGAGTCATGGAAGCAATATTTGGTCCAACAATTGTAGCCCACAAGAATTAAACAAGCAAATGCCCTTGGCGTACGAGAACATGCTTTTGGCACAACCACCGGTTGGAACCATTAGCAAATTGGTAGCTAGCTTCATGATATATGAACAATTCCTTTACTCTTCATATATATATATATATATATATATAAGTCTAACTATCTCTAAACTTGAGTTATTTGAAATTAAATTTCGAATTTTTTAATTAGTTTTGAAGATTTATGAACTTAATTTTTTTTTCAGATTTAGTATAAGTAATAATTTTTCACTATCATTTTTCTTTTTAAAAATTCAATTCTAGGTATTTTCAGTTGAAAATTTGCATATATGTTGAAAAAAAATCAATCCATTTAATTTGTAAAAAATTTTAAAAATTTTCAAAATCAAAAACTATATTTGTTTATTTTTCCAATTGATCCCAATTTTTTTAAAAAATCTTTACATAAATCTCGTTCAATTATTTCTGTAATGAAATTATTTATATGATTATTAATTTTTAAAATAAATGACTAAACTGAAAGATAGTTAAATTTTTTAAAACAATCATAAATTTTCAAAACTAATAAAAAAAATTCAGAAACTTAATTTCAAAGTTCAGAAGGGTAAGACTTTTTTCACAAATAATAATAATAAACAATCAAACAAACAAACAAAGAGAAGTACAAGGATAGGCACGTCAAGAAGAGAAAATGGGTCCTCATATTTGGACGAGGAGATGACGTGGCACCGCCATGTAATGGTTCCTTCCCTGACTGAATCAAATTTAACCATGTCGGTGTTGGTTGCAATGTCAAACCTTTGAGAAGTCAAACAGACATTTTGGATTGGTTTCGGTTTTGAACGCTGTTTAGCTTTGATTTTTTTTTTTTCATTGTTTTAGGTTGTTATTATTGATTGTTATTTTATTTATAATTATATATAGATATTCCACAATGATCTACATAAGTTTTTTTAGCGATAGGTCCTTATCGAATAGAGATTAAGGATGACAATAGGGCAGGGTCGGTTTCTAAAAAAAAACTTATTTCCGTCCCATGCTTCGTTTAAGGTCAGAATTTCGCTCCTCATCTCCACTCCAGACGAGGCGAGACTATATTACCTTTTTTAAAGGCAAATAGAGAGAGCAGACTAGGGATAATCATCTCCATCCTCATCCTGCCTTCTAAACCAAAAAAATCTATTCCTATCCCGTGCTCCATTCAGAGCAAAATTTTGCACCTCATCCCCGTTCCAAACAAAACTATGAGGGACATGAAGATGTTGGGATAGATCGGATTACTATCCCTAATAGAGATACGTATTTGATTTTGTATGGTACGAATTGGGAAAAAAATAAAAAAAGTCAACCTGGGATACATTTGAATTTCATCTTTGCTAGGTCCAAACGAGGTCAAAAAGCCTGAGATACATATACATAAGTGAGGGTATGATAAAAACATGTTTGGAGGTTAAATTTGTAATTATATGAGAGAAGATAAATATAATTCCAATTTTATGAGTTAAAATTCAAAAAAAAAAAAAGAATAATCCAAGTTTTTTCTTGTTTTTATTTATTTATTTTTAATTAGGTTTTTTCAGGTACAATCAACCCCTAGCTAATTAATTATTTAATGAAATGTTTTTAAAATGTACTCGTTTTCAATTAATTTGGTGTATAATTGGTTTAAAGTTTGCATCTAAATATTTTTTTTCTATTTATGGCTCAATGAATTTAAATTCTTTTATGAATATCAAATTAAAAGAAATTTAGGTTCTTTTACGGACATCAAACCAAAAAAGATCTCGTTAACGAAATTTGTTTCTTCTTTCTACTTTATGAATTTAAATCTTATTTGAAATATTTATTAAATTATTTTAAATATATTAGATCATATAAAAATATAATTTTAAATTTAATTTTAATTGATACGAAAATATATCGTCTTATTGATAAAAAACCAATGATTACTTATATATTAATTATCACGGTCAAGAGAGATTGAAGGTTAAAAAAAAAAAAAAAAAGCATACCCCTCCCCTAATTGAAAGGTTTTATTGTCCAAATATTGAAGATCCATGTGGAAATTGGACTGAGTGTTTTTCAGCTCCAAGTCATTTTATTTCAATTACTACGACCACCGCGAAACGAAGACACAATCATATAGAACATCTCTTTCCTTGCCACCTATATTTATTTCCTCTTCCCTTCTCTCTTTCGCTTTCTGTTTATTTCTTTCTTTTTAATAATGTTTTGTTTATCTTATGTAGAAACAAAATACTATTAGAAACCCCACTACTGTTCTCTGACAGAGACTCAAATCCTGCCGCGGCTTTATCTACAGATCAAAGGAACAAAGCACTTCCATACGCGTTGATTGCTCTAAACTAATCTCTTTAGCATCAAATCTCAATCTGGGTCTTTCCCTTTTACCCTCCTCCACTTAAATCCTCCATTCATTTTTAATTCTCTCGCACTTCTACATATAATTTTATCTACTTCTGACAGAGCTTGTTGGGAGTTTTTTTTTTTAATGGTTTCCATTTGTTTTTTAAATTCTTGTTTTGTTAGTGACTGTCTCTAAAACATGTGGGGTTTTATTCTTTGCCTCCTAAACAAAGGCAAATGCTAATCTTTTTGGATCTAAAGCTGTGATTTTTTGGGGTACAATATGGAGCATGCTTATTTATAATTTATCTCTTTTCTATCAAATCCGTATCTTGCTTTTCATTTCTTTAACTTGACTAATTAGCTGTTTAGTCTACTTCAAAAGAGTGATATAGAATTTTTTTTTTAAAAAAAAACAAGCCTTGGTCTTGTTTATTTAGTTGATGGTATTTCATTTACTGAGTATAGAGTAAGAAATGGGATCTAGTAATGAGTTTTATTCTGGAGAGTTCAATTTGGAAGCCAAGTGGCTCATTGATCCAAAGCTTCTATTTGTTGGGCCAAAGATTGGAGAAGGTGCTCATGCTAAAGTATATGAAGGAAAGTAAGTCAAACTTCTTGAATTCTTTGTTTTTTTTTTTCTTTTTTTCCCTAATTGAAGGTCTCGAACTTGATTCACTTTATAACAGGAGTTTTCTCTAATTTAAGAAAAACTATTGCTTATATATATCAAATCCCATGTTTTTAATTTTATTTTCATGTACATGACTGCTTATCGGATCATTTGACTGAATTTTGTGATGCTGTTTCGAAAACATTATTATTATTATTTTAGTTTAGATCATTTGATATATGTTGGAGTGCAGTAATCTCATTCTGGAATTTATGAATTTTCTTTGATAGGTACAAGAATCAAAATGTTGCTATTAAAATTGTAAATGGAGGAGAAACCCCAGAAGAGATTGCCAAGAGAGAAGCACGGTTTGCAAGAGAGGTTGCTATGTTATCTAGAGTTCAACACAAAAATCTAGTGAAGGTTGTTTTTATAGCTATACCTTTTCATTGTATTTGATTTTCAGCATTGAGGGTTGTCAGTGAATTAGTTTTACTATTTTATTAGTTAACAGTTGTTGAAGTGGTCATATACAAAATAACGGGGCTGTTATGTGTTACCAGTTTATTGGTGCTTGCAAGGAGCCTGTCATGGTGATAGTAACTGAGCTTCTTTTAGGCGGGACATTGCGCAAATACTTGCTGAACATGCGACCAAGGTGCTTGGACATGTGTGTGGCTGTTGGGTTTGCTCTTGATATTGCTCGTGCTATGGAATGCTTACACGCCCATGGGATCATTCATCGTGACCTAAAACCTGGTATGATAAATTTCTGGCTTTGTGTTCATTGGACTGTTGAGCATATGAAGTTTGAAAAAGTAGCATTTTGTGGGAGGCATATAAACTTGCGAACCAGTTCCACATAGTTTTATGGACATTTTCTGTCTTTGAGAGCTTTGGGACTTGTATAGTGCATGCATTTAGTACATGTTTTCTACTAATTTGCCAAATATAACAGTTGGAATATTGTCTCGAGAGGGTACATACTGTAATTTGTGCCCTCTTCTGCCTTTTCGTTTGAATTGTAAAGTATGCATGTTGACATGGTTTCATATCGTAGCAGCACTAGAGAAAGAAATGCTTTCATATAATACTCTGTCTTTTATTTCAGTTGTTTTAGTGAAACTCATCCTGCCCCTGTATGACAATGTTTGTTCCCTTGACTTTCTAATTTCACTAGTCAATTACCCATGCAATTCTAGAGATTTGTATTTTCTTGACTTTTTTTCTCAGTTTGTTTCCATGTTCTCTTTTTCAAATAGAATTTTTCCATCGCAAGAGAGGTAATATTCATTTAAATAAGAAATTAATCAAAGAGCTGGGAAAACAGGATTGGAAAAATAACAGTCCAGTAAGCACTATATCTATCCTCGAGTTGCTCATCAAAGTAGAAACTGAAGCTAGTAATATTTAGATCGTGAAGGGTAAGGAATTGAAAAAAAGATAGATAGATTAGAAGTAAGGAGCATCAATAAAAGAACATCTACTGGGAAGATGAAGGAAAGCAAATTGCTATAAATGAAAAAGAAGTACCGCATAAGTATGAACTTTAGGATTTCTCTTCTTGATGTCAAGAGCTTGTACAAAAGAGAAACAACAAACCGTTGCTTAATTAAGAAAAGTCTAACTTGGTTAGAATGTAAGCATTCAACATTTCTTTTAATGTGCTATTGCAAGATTGAATATGATAAAGAGTAAAAGTAGTGTGGTGAATAAGAAGTAAATGTTTTTGCGAAAGATAAAGATTTGTGTTGGAATTATCTCTACCAAATATTTACAAGATATTTTTTTCATTTAAGAAATATATATTTTTATCATGTCATTATCACGTAATAATGATGGTATATATATATATATATATATTGGTATTTGAGGGAGAATTTTTTTTTTTTTGGGTACCTATATATACCTGTATTTCATTTTAAGATATAGCTTCAGTATTATATTATATTGTATTTGCTGAATAGAGTTACCTTTTTATTTGAAGTTTATGAGATTTTTTTTTCGATACAAACTTAGTGACTATTTCCAACTAGAATAATTAATATCATTGCGTTACAGAATTTGAGAGGTTAAAATTTTTGATAATTATCAATATGGGTGTTTTTAATTAACTGAACTCACTATTAGAGTTGTGATATTGTTTCTTACTAATAATCTTAACTAACTAACTAACTGAACAAAAATACAAACAAATAAAAATCAGCACATAATAATCAAAATTGATAATGATAAAATATTGATAATTATTATAATTTTTTTTATCCACCAAAATTCCATATATATATCTTGGTGATAATTCTTTCTCTAGGTAACAAAATATTTCTTTTGCAAACATCCCTTGAGTTGTATCTAAAATGAATCCAAGTATCATATCAATCATCTGGTTTTGCATATGAACACAAATTATCATAATTTTATATGAGAACAGAAGATTCTATTCTGGTCAGGTCTAAATTGATTATGCTACATTCACTTGCTTTTCTTGTGTGATGGAACAAAACTTGATGAATTTTCTTTTGCGTTTATTTTGTCCTTAATATAAGGAATTAATCACCAAACTGATTGCAGAGAGGATAAGTAAGGGCTTCCATGTTATGTATTTAGTGGGCACCTATTTATGCTTAGTTTTTCTGATACTGCATGATAGCAATTAGATTTGGCTTTATGTCATTCTTGAACTAGTTTTTACATCTGCTGGATAGAAATGTGCATAGTTGGGGAACTGGCAAATATTACATTTAAGAGATCAGCATCAGTAAGCAGCCAAGAATGCCAAGAATTAAACTTCACAGAAGGTTTACATAATTTTTGATAGAATCAGATTCAAAGCATTTAAGGGATTGTCTTGGTTTCTTCTGGTTTCACCTGGTTGTTTCTGGACTTTTTACTTGATCTCTTGAATATATACTTCATAAAGATGTCTTTGTGCAGTGCTGAAATGGATTGTTGGCCTTACAGCTTGTTTAGAGAGCCTCTAGTTTGTGGGATTCAATTCTATTTGGGCCCTTCTCTTGTTTGGAAAGTTTAACTTGCTGAGTTTATTCTACAACATGTCACAATTTAAGATTTCTACACAAGTAAATTGCACCTGTCCATTAGTAGAATTCAGTTTTGCTTAATGTTCCATCTAGACAAACAACCAGATACATGGGCAAAAACATAGATCATCTTCAACAAAAACTTTCAAGTGTGATCACTGTAAGCCATGAAATTCCAGTGTCACAACACTGTCTCTGTGTTTTCTCTGTAACAATTTAGAATTAGCGAAGTGAGATAGGAGATAAGGAATCAATATCTGCATAGAAAGAGACATAAAGACTATTTAGCTGGAGAGGATAGATGTAGTAGAACAGCTAGAGTAAGGAGTGGGTATTGGTTTTTGGGTGTGACTTAGTATTGTTTGTAAATAAATCTTGATCTTTGTTAATATGTAGAATTGAATTATGGCTTCCAAACAAAGGAGTTTTCTTGACAACAGGCTGTTAAGCACTGATACAGTGTGATATTCTAAAATTAAAATGAGAACTTGATTTTGGAATCAAGCATCAAGGCTGCTTCTGACTGCTTCATTTCCTTTCCCATTTACAGAGAACTTGATCTTGACTGTGGACCATAAAACAGTTAAACTTGCAGATTTTGGTTTAGCCAGAGAAGAGTCATTAACAGAGATGATGACTGCTGAAACAGGAACATACCGGTGGATGGCTCCAGAGGTACTATATTGGATGATCGAGGAATCTCTAGAATTCTTTTTATATGATGCAGATTGCTCACTTTTCTACTTGGTGGCAGCTTTACAGCACAGTCACATTAAGGCATGGTGAGAAGAAACACTATAATCACAAGGTGGATGCTTATAGCTTTGCGATTGTGTTGTGGGAGCTCATCCATAATAAATTGCCTTTTGAAGGCATGTCAAATCTACAGGCAGCATATGCAGCTGCTTTTAAGGTGAGCAGTGTTGTTTTCATATCTTGAATTCAAATGATATCTTAAGGGTGCTAATTTTAAGGGGAATTACTTGGATGATGACCATATTGATGTCCAGCTGGTGGTAGTGCCCTTTTGAGATTATACGAGAAATTTCCTGTTAAAATGCTGCTGAACTAGATTTTATAACCTTTTATGACGGATTGAGTTTGCTCTTAAGGGTCTTGGACCACAAGGCTGCTTTCTGCAAGATTGGATGCTGATCCCTTTAGAAGTGAAGTCTTCTTATTAAATTGGTGAGGTAGTTGATAAATCGTAAATGCAGAACATAGGGTAGCAGACTGATAGAGGTGGTTTTGATGGGGTAGCGGACGGACGTGATGGGATGGGGGACCGACTGATGGTTTAAGCATGCTGCATAAAATTGCTGAAGCAAAATTGCTTCTTGAAATTGTTGTGCTAGGGGAGTCATTGCGGAGAACTCTTACTAGTGAGATAATGAACATGTTGGACATCACCTTGACCTAGAAGCCTTCCTCACCTGGCTGCTAGCTTTGTCATTGTGGGATTTTATCCCTATGTATCAGCATTTTACTGAGGATTTGGTTATAGCATACAGTAATCAAGTTGCTTTTAGCACTGCAGCATGTGATATATGCATTTCAAGTCTTGAGGCCAGCATTTGGTCATCAAAACCTGGACCATCTGACATTCCATCTGCTTTTATTGCATGATTATAACAATTAATAGGGTTCAAAACTCTGACATGCCATAACTTGAATGATTGTCTTGTCTTTTAATTATAGTTATATAGCTCAGTTGCAATTTTCAGCATCTTGACTTTGGTTCTGCTGTTTCAGAATGTGAGGCCCAGTGCTGAGAACCTTCCAGAGGATTTGGCTTTGATTGTGACCTCATGTTGGAAAGAAGATCCAAATGCTCGGCCCAACTTCAGCCAAATTATACAGATGCTCCTGCATTACCTTTCTACCATTTCAGCACCAGAGCCTGTCATCCCTGCTAGGATATTCACATCTGAGAATGCGGTTTTGCCACCAGAGTCTCCTGGTACAAGTTCCTTAATGGCTGTAAGAGATGACTCAGGGGAAACCCCGAGAACCCAGATAGAAGACAAGCCAAGAGGTTTCTTTTTCTGCTTTAACCAGTGTTACTGATCCCTCCTGATACACAAAGTCGTCTCTGGAGGTATTTAGGTAAATTTCAATAAGCGAGTCTCAAATATTAGAGTATACTTACATCTTTATGAAAAATTGTCAATTTAGCTAGTTCAGTTGCAATAGGAAGCTACTCATCATCTTATCGATGTCTCCATTAACTTTTCCACACTTCTCCCCATGAATATTAGTTTGCTCAGACTATGTTTTTAGGGTTTTGGAGTTGGGGTTGCTGTGATGATTTATCATTATTGTAAAATAAGGTCCGTCCAAAGGCCTTTACTCCTGCTGTTGATCGAGAATATACATGAATAAGAGTTGATGATGGTTGGGTCATTTGTTCATTGACTCGAGATATGGCACAAGCTCTCAACTGTGCATTTGTGCTGTGTCGATAAGCTTCTTCTGTGTGTTATGTCTTAGTATTGTTAATAACATTCGATTGATCTAAAATAGTTGATCCCTTCCTCTCTTCATCGGTAGTATCAGTTTATATAAAAAGATCAATGAAATGTTGAATCATTTTCAGAAACATGATCCTCGGTGTCTCAAATTGTGCTGCTTAGATTTGCATGTTTTGCTTTTACCGCTTCTTTTGTGCTCGGTACTTTTAAGATTGGTGCAAGCCTTTTCTGGTTTTGTAAAGAGACAATTGCGCTACTAGTAGTCTTCTCCTACTACTGGAGTGACTTCAAGTCAGTGGTACTTCACTTCTTTTTGTCAACCGGTTAACTTAATTAACTGGTTATTATCTTTTTATCTTTTATCTTTTTTCTTTTTTCAAAAGAAACTTGAAAAAAAAAAAAAAGGATGCTTGAAGGCACAATAATGATATTCTCACCCATAAATGCAATCATTTTACTCCCTATTTTTCTTAGTAAGAGCTATAATTCACTATCACTAGAAGGTAATAATCAATCTCTAAAAAAGTGATTTGAGTTACTTCTAATTAGTAAATTAATCAGATAATCATAAACTCAATTTTAAATAAAATAGAACCTTCTAATTAACAAGTTAATCAGGCAAATATAAACTCAATTTTAACTAAAATAGCAACTTAATTTTGGAAAATATTCCTTTATAAAATATTTAAAAAATATATACTTACAAAATTGGGTGATTGGAGTTGTGTAATTGTGTCTCAAAGTTACTTAATATAACGTAAAAAATTACGGAATCTAAGATTTGTGGGTACGTAAAAATTACCAACACACTTCACTTTTTATGTCGTGGACTAGCTTATAATATTGTCTTAAAAATATATTAGTAAATTTAGTTTATTTTAAGAGTGTTTTATTAAAAAAAATATAATTTATTCTATTTACTATATATTTTTTAATGTATTAGAAGCTAAAATATTTTGTAATTAATAAATCTAAAACTATAATTTAAAATTAGAAAATGTATTTTCCCTTCCAAGCTAATTCAAGTTATGATCTAAAGTCTAAAATACAGCCTAGCATTTCCTCCACTTAGCAACGCTATCATATAGGTATTGGACTGATAATTGACAAATCAAAATGAAGGAAAAAAAAAAATTGAGCTACAGCCTTTTGATTAATAAACTTGGACTCGTGAGCTGCCGCGCTAAGCTGCCGATCGAGCTAAATAAATAAAATCATCTAATTGTATATATTTTTAATAAAAAATATATTTAATTTATTATTTTTTTATTTTTTTCTTAAATTTCGTTGTAAAAAAAATTAATTTGTTCTTCCTCATGCATTGATTTTTTTAATAAAAATTTATAATAATTTTTTTATAAGATTGCATCAAAATAATAATAATAATAATATAAAAACTTATATAAAAATTTAAAAATGATTTTTTTATTATTCTTATTTAATGTTAATGAGAAACTTTTTTTTTTTTGAAATTATGTTCATAAGATTTATATATGTTTATTAAAAAAATAATTAATAATATTATTATAAAAAGCTGTGTTTCAATAATTGAATGGATTTTTCAAAATATTATTTAAAAAATTGATTTTAAAACATAAAATAGAATAAATAATAAATAATTGATGGTATGTATATAGATACATAATTAATTTTCAATAAAACTAATGATTTAATTTTTTATATATATGCATCATGATCATAGTTAATGGATTCACAATGTATAGCATAAATAAAAAAATATTAAAAAAACACTTAAGTTGTAAGTAATATATTAAAGTCAATAGATTGAAATAAAAATTACGAAAAAATTAATTTCGATAAATTTTGATTATATATGTGTATATTGTAATAACTCGAATTAAGAGAGAGAGAGAGAGAGAGGGTTGGTATAAAAGGAGTAGTAACTCGTCCTTTTTTTCAGATTTTTCCTCCCTTTTCTCTCCTTATCTCACGTGATTTTTCTCCCAAATCTTCTCCCAACTTTCTCTTCAATTCCTAAGCTAATCCATTGTTCAATTAGCTTAGAAAGGCCATAAGTAAGAGGATTTAAATAGATTCTAACTAGCTTAGAGCTTGGAAAACTAGGAAGAATTTGGGATTTGAAGAGCGTAGTCTAAAGGTAAGATCTTTGATCCATTGATCTTTGAATTGTGAAGTTTATGTTTAATTAATGATGATATTGAGTTAGAGTAGCTTTGGATTGTAAACTCGCTTGAGGAATCGCTTAGGTTAAGGTTAGGGTTTTAAGACTCATTTGGAAAAAAATGATTTTTAAGTGATTATGATGACTTGAATGATGTTTAATTATCTTGGGTAAGTGAAATAAGAAGTTAATTTTGAAGTGAAATTGAGTGGATTTGAGAAATTGAGAGGTTGAAGATGATGAAAGTAGAAAATCCCAAATTTAGGTTTTAATTGGAAACAATTTGGGAAAAATGAGAAATTAAGCTATGTAAAAGCAATTAAAGGTTAATGGGATGAATATTGGGTGAATTGGGATAGAATTGATTATTTAATCGAATTAAGGATTAGTTGATTGAGGGTTGATTGTTTAAGGAATGAGGTGAAGATTGGTAAGGGAAGATGATTAGATGATTGTTTAGAGCCAATTGAGGGAGAATTAAGTTAGGTTATTGGTTTGAGTCTTTCCAATTAATTTTGTTTTTGTTTGATAATCTTGTATGCTTATTTTTATCATTTTGAATTATTCCTTGAGGTATGATATTGATGGATGCCCCATCATCTTGTGATGCTAGATTCTTCGAAGCGGACGACTCCATCACAATCTTGATTCTTTAAATTGTACTTGTAAGTGGATATTATATAGTGTATTATGTTTTAAACTCCTTGAAATCACGTCTATCATGCATCATTGTTTAAGAATGATTTAGAAGCAATTCTATTAGAACTTAGATAGAAATGGACACCATAAATTTTGAAATATTTTCATATCAAAATGATTTAATATGAATGAAAAAGAAAGAGATATTTCAATGTGTTATTGAAATTAATGTGTGGTTTCGATTTGAATGAATATTGTATGTTTGTTATTTTGAGTATACACGTAATTTTTGAAAATGCATGGATGGTATTTGAAATACTGATTTGAAAAATATATAAGTATGTTTGATTTTTGAAAAATGTTTTTGAGACCTCGGAGAACCTAGCTACTGGGGGGTAGCCTTTGAGACCAATGATACAAGGCTCCATCGGCGGGAAGGGTGTAGTGCTAGACCTTCGTCGACCAACACATGAAAACCTAGTCACGAGGGGTGTGACCTTTAGGTGTTCACACCCAATGATACATTATTATCCTATAGGTGTATAAAAACCTATATATGAGATTTCGTACAAATATGATATATGTATGATAAATGTTTCAACGATTTGATATGAAATGATTTTGAACCATTTGATTTGTGATATAAGGTATGTTTTTTATATGCATGGAGTTTGAGAAACTGGCATAACATGTTGAGATGAATTTGAAATTATCGACCTTAGTCCATTTTCCTCTCTTAGTATATTATATAATGTCTACTCATTGAGTTTTGGATTGCTCACCTCTCATTATTTCAATTTTACGGGATATTAAGGGATTGCCTATTGCTTCCTTTTAGGTTGCTTGGCATAAAGTCGACACATTGATCGTGTGACTTACCTTACTTGTAATTCTTAGAACCTATGTCTTATTTAGCTTTATTATTAGAAGCTCTGCAGTTATAGTTATGAGTATTGTATTAGGATTTTTGATTTTGGATACTGAAATGAGAATGATATTGAATTATCAATATGTGTTAAAGTTATGGAATATAAATTGTTAACTTGCGATATAATGATTAATGAAATGACATGTGAAATTATATTGATTTGAGGACTATGTTTTAGTATTCTTGGCTTGCTTGAGTCGAGATGGGCCTCATAATTCCCTCAATCCTCACACAAGTGATGTCCCACTCTCGAGGTCGTGATATATATATAGTATTTTGGGCTTGTTTGGGTCGAGATAGGCCTCATGGTTCCCTCAATCCTCACATCGGTGATGGCTCGAGGTCGTGATATATATATATATATATATATATATATATATATATATATAGGTCGTGATATATATATAGTATTTTGGGCTTGTTTGGGTCGAGATAGGCCTCATGGTTCCCTTAATCCTCACATCGGTGATGGCTCGAGGTCGTGATATATATATATATATATATATATATATATATATATATATATATATATATATATATATATATATATATAGTAACGATAAAATTATATATAAAAAATAAAAAATTAATTTGATGAAAATTTCAATAATAAATTAAAGAAATAAATTTTAAACAATAAGAGTAATATAATATGATATACATGTTCAACTTAAAATTATAAAACATATTATATATATTTCATCATCGTCAAACTATTTAGAAAACTCAAAAATATAATAATCAGTTTTTCATAATTTTTGCACCCAATTCATGATAAAAAAAAAAAATTGAAAAATAGATTGGTGGAAGAAAAAAAAATCAAACCAACAACTTCGGTGAACTAAAGTTCGTTAGAATGTTTGCCAAAAAGTCACATGTATTGTTT